TAACCCAATCCCGTTTACTTAGTATGTTTTTGAGATACAGGGTCATAGGCCGATATTCATATGATTGGTTAATTTTTGTAGATCTACCCATGGTTTTCCACAATAATTAACCAATCAAATTACTTAGTTTTTAAATTTTATTGTTTAATAGAAGATAAAAAAACTTCGTAAAAAGAAGCTTATAAAGCTTATAAAACTTACAAACCAATAAACACACACAAATGAAATTATCATAAGTCTTAAAGAATAGGTAGATACGCATAAAGTTGAGGAAAAGTAATATTTTATTGTTAATAAACTTAAACCCATTAAAGAATCTACAATACAGTATATAAACCACAACTTTAATTTATGGTTGACAACCCCTAGCCAAGCAACTAAATTTAAATATTGAACTTGAATCTTCTATTGCTAAAGAGCATGTACCTTTTAAATTAAATAGTTAGCAATAAGAAGTTTAATTAAATCTTATAAAACAAAGTAGTTTTAGACAAAAATATTCCAGTTACCCTTATTGCACAGTATAATTTTACACAGTCCAATAAATGGCAATATATTTTGTCTTCTAAGCAAAGTCTGTGAGGAGGAAGATTCTTTTGTATAGTGAATATTAGCATTTGTTCAAAGCTGGAAATGGCTTTTGTAGCAATTTTTTATTAGTGAAATGTTCAGTTCTAAAAAATTACTTTAAAACATATAAATAAGTTATTTGGGTAATTGATTTATATTAGCCAATCAAACAAATGTCTGACAATGAGATACAGGTGAGATTTTTCTAAAAGGGGCAAATTAGCAATACTCATAAAAAAATTAAAAAATAAAAAGAATAAAAAATAAAAAGAATAAAAAAATAAATAAAAAATAAAAAAAATAATAAATAAAAACTAAAAAAATAAAAAAATAAAAATAAAAAAATAAAAATATAAAAAATAAAAAAATAAAAAATAAATAAAATAAAACAATTATTATAAAATGTATCTATAGTTTTTAGCATTATATATAATTGTTTTAATAAAATTTAGAGTTAGAGTGTATTTTTATATATTATAAAATATATTAATATAGAATTATATTATTTTGTGCATATATGCTATAACACACCTCATAAGATCAGATGTAACGTGAAATCAAAACAATAAATTAATTTGTTAGTTTAGGATTAGAGTGAGAGTTAGGTTAGGGTTAGGTTAGGTTAGAGTTAGATTAGAGTGCTTTAGTGAAAAGATTCTAACCCAAAATTTTGCAAAAAATTTTTTTGTTAGTACACGAAGAGAGGTTTCATAAGCAAAATTTTTAGCTACAAGCGATTTTTTAAAAGATCACTATTTTTTTCGATTTCATGTTATACCTGATCTTAAATTCTGATTGGTCGATCAGTGGGTGCATTACTACGCATATGCGCTAAATTATATAACTCTTAAATATAAGGTTCTAATTTTAGTTTTGTGAAGTTTTTTGGGGTTCTAAATATTTTTACTTAGAATACCTGATCCAGTTTATTTAGTATATTTTTTGAGAAATAGGGATCTATGATATTAAACACTATAGGTGTATTTTAGTAAACTTGAAATAAAAAATAAAAAATTAAAAAAATTAAAAAATAAAAAATTAAAAAATAAAAAAAATAAAAAATAAAATAATAAAATAAAAAATTAAAAAATTAAAAAAATAAAAAATTAAAAAATAAAAAAATAAAAAAAATAAAAAATAAAAAAATTAAAAAATAAAAAAATAAAAAATAAAAAAATTAAAAATTAAAAATTAAAAAATTAAAAAATTAAAAAATAAATAAATAAAAAAATAAAAAAATAAATAAATAAATAAATAAAAAAATAAAAAAATAAAAAAATAAAAAAAATAAAAAAATAAAAGATATAATCAAAATAACTCATAGTAATTGTCACCACCTTTAATTATTTTTAGGGTTAGAATTAGTAATTAGAGAATTATTTTTTTTTATATAATATATATAGAGCTACTATAAGGACCCAATAGAGCCCAATTTTAGTTTTTATAAAGTTTTTGGGTCTTGAACATTTTTATTTAGAAAACCCGATCCTGTTTACTTAATACGTTTTTTGAGATACAGGCACTCTGGTGATGACTACCACTGGTTATAGTTAAATTAATTTAAAAAATAAAATAAAAAATAAAAAATAAAAAAATAAAAAAAAATAAAAAAATAAAAAAATAAAAAAAATAAAAAATAAAAATAAAAAATTAAAAAATTAAAAAATTAAAAATTAAAAAATTAAAAAATTAAAAATTAAAAAATTAAAAATTAAAAAAATTAAAAATTAAAAAATTAAAAAATAAAAACAAATAAAAAAATAATTTATAGTACTGAACAATATAAGATATTTATTCTATATATATCAAGTGCCAATTTTAATGCTTATATAATCAATTCTAATTAGCTAATTTTGACTAATTGGTTAATTGATATTTCATTTGCCACTTGGAGGAGATTTGCAAAATTTTATAAGTAAAGTTTACTATTGACAGAAATGTAGCGAGCTTATATCTAAACCTTTTTTTTACTAAGACAATTAATCTTGTCAATTAATTAAAAGTTGTAGAGCATATCAAGACACATCTAATGTGATAAGAGCATTAAAATCGGTCTAGTAGTTCTTGAGATATCTTTAAAAAACGTTTTCCGTACATATAAAATTCCTTTAAAAAAGAAGACTTTTTTTAAAGAAATTTTATTTATACGCAAAATATTTCTTAAAAATATCTCAAGAACTACTATATCAATTTTGACGCTCTTACCGCCATTGGATGCATCTTGATAAGCTCTACAACTTTTAATTAATTGACAAGATTGATTGTCTAGTAAAAAAAGGTTTTAGATTTAGGCTTGCTACATTTTTGTCAATATTAAACTTTATTTATAAAATTTGCAAATTCTCTCCAGATACCAAATGGATTATCAATTAATTAATTGGTGATTCACTAGTCAACCAGAGAATGATCATAGTAAAATGTGACTCAAATTACTTATGAAAATTGGGGATTTCCAAATGTGGTGTACGCACATCTAAAACTTTTTTTATACTAAGTTAGAGGTTGGAACCGGTTTTAAATATTCGAGTTTATCACTTCAAAATTCGAGTTTATCACTCCAAAATTCGAGTTTATCACATCGACCATTAATAATTAATGTGATAAACTCGAATTTTAGAGTAATAAACTCGAATTTTAAAGTGATAAACTCGAATATTTAAAACTGGTTCCAACCTTAATCACTTTTCTAACTTAAGAAACTTTGTAGAGCTTGTTAAGGCATATCTAATAGTGGGTAGAGCGTCAAAATTGGCTTGGTGGATACTGAGATATCTTTAAAAAACGTTTCTTTTACTATATAAACTTCTTTGCAAACAATAGTATTGTTTGCAAAGAAATTTATATAGTAAAAAAAATATTTTTTAAAGATATCTCGGCACCTACCAAGCCGATTTTGACGCTCTACCCACCATTAGATATGCCTTAACAAGCTCTACAAAGTTTCTTAAGTTAGAAAAGTGATTAACTTAGTATAAAAAAAGTTTTAGATGTGCGCACGCTACATTTGGAAACCCCCAATTTTTATAAGTAATTTGAGTCACATTTTACTATAATCATTTTCTGGTTGATTGGTGGATCACCAATTAAACATAATATTAAATGCTAATTTTTTAAATTATTATAAACTTTAATTCTTAATTGCTATTTTAAAATAAAAATTAATGTTTAATTTTAACATCAACTCTTTCCAATGATCACTAAAACCAAAATTTCCCAAACAATTTTTATAAAAACAGTAACTAGTAAGTAATGAAGGGTATAAAACTGGAATCTATAAGTCGGCAGTTGTTATTTAGAGGTAGTTCTCATATGCTACCTGCTAACTTCTTCAGAGTTTATCACTTACTGCTAGTATGGTACTTGTCATTTAGAAGTAGTTCTTATACGCTACTTGCCAACAAGTTTAGAGTTTATTACTTACTGTTTAAGTACAGTAGCTCTTCCCCTTTCCTAGAAAAAGGGTTACTAGTCGTTGGTTCTTTCAAGGATAAAATACTCTCTTTGGGTGCTAGTGGTCCTTTCATTAAGTCTCTCTTGGTCCTATCAGTCTTCTACAAAATTTTCAACAAAAATTGGGCGATTTGGCTTACCCCCTCCAAAAGATCAGCATTGTTTACCTTCCAAATTCAGATATACCCAGGAATGCAACCACATGCCTTGCTTATTGGTGGATAAGATATATGACGTAGTCTATAGATATGGGACTTCCATGTGACTGGGATCAGGTCTCTGACATAAGAGGCATCTGGAGGTGGCTAGTAGTTGGATAATAAAGATTTTATATAATAGTCGAGATATACAAATGTTGTAGTTGTTATAAAATTTTTTCTTAAACCTGGCACTGTAATGGACCAAACTCAATTACTAGGAACAGATTTCAAGAGCAAGAGTTTTTTTATTGCATTGAACAGACTGATTATTACAATGAGAGTTTGTATTGCTTTAAATACTATCTCTTCATTATTATTAACATGATTACTAATACTAACTTATAACTATATAATTTATGCACTAATACTAACTTATGACTATATACTTTATGCGCTTTACTAATACTACCTTATAACTAAATTATTATGCTTCTCGCTAATTATGACTATATAACTTATACGCTTTATTGCTCTTTCATTTATTACAATTCGATAACTTCATAATTAATGTAATGGAAAAATTTTGAGGTCCCGGGCTTGATAACAGTATCGAATTGTGGTTATCATAGGCATGGATCACAATTCAATCACAGGTTCCGAGTAAGGCTTGGTTCATTACATAGTTCGTTACACCATCTCCCTTCTAAAATCCTTCACACCCGGTTCTTGTGTGGGTTGTCTCCTTTTTCTTTTTTGTATTGTAGGCCCGGGTTTAATAGAATATTGCTAGTGGAAGGTTTTAATAGCTTTCTGTACATGGATGATATTTTTGACTGGCTCTTAAGAATGTTCATTTATGTCGTAGCCTTTCCATGCGAACAGGTAGTATAATTTTTTCTGAAATATTTTTAAATCTAATATAGCATCAACTTCGTATTCACTTTTATCTTTCATGATTACAGGTGAGGGAGGCTTCATGACTCTCTTTAGAAAAGTATTAGCAAAATAGAGTTCTAGGAAAGAAACATAGAAGGCATTGTGAATTTTAAGAGTAGGAGATAAATTCAAAAGTATGTTACTGGGTTAATCTCTTCAAGGATAGTGTAAGGCCCTAATTTTTTGTAGTCCAATTTGTCTGACAGGTGATTAGTATGAATATTCCGACACAAAAGCCAAACCTTGTCGCCTTTTCTAATTTCCAGGGCTAGTCGATAGTATTTATCTGTGTTTTCTTATAGTGTTTCTGTACAGATTTAAGTTCTGTACTAAGTGTTAATTTTATTTGTTGCAATTCCTTAACTCTGTTTTCTGCTGATAGGACTAAAGAATAGTATGGTATCTGCAGTCAAAGTGTGGGTAGAACCCGTAATTTGCAAAAAAACAGTGTGGTTTTCATAGAGGAATAGACCGAGTTATTGTAAGCAAACTCGGCCAAAGGAAGTAAGTCTGCCCAATTGTCTTGGTGGTAGTTGATTGTACACCGCAAATATTGTTCTAACACTTAGTTGATGCATTCACTTTGTCCATTCGACTGAGGATGGTATGCTGAAGAGAGATTGGTTCTGGTTCCTAATAGGTTAAACAAGTGTTTCTAGAATTTGGAGGTGAATTGGAGCCCTTTGTCAGAAACTATATTCTCTGGAACTCTATAGAGATGAATTACTTCTCTAAAAATTAATTGTGCTGTCTGTTCTGTGCTTATACTTTTCCTGCAAGCTATAAAATGTGCCATCTTAGACAACTGATTCACAACTACTAAAATAAAGTCAAAACCCAAAGATATAGGTAAATCTGTAATGAAATCCATGGTGATGGATTGCTATTGTTTGGTAGGTATAGGCAAAGGCATTAGAAGGCCTAGAGGTCACTGTCTGGAGGTTTTGGTTCTTGCGCAAGCATTACAGGATTTGATATAGTCCTTAATGAAAGATCTAAACTTCGGCTACCAATAATCTTATAATACAAGTTCTACAGTTTTGGCCACCCCAAAATGCTCTGCTACTTTTGAATCATGTCTCATCTGTAACACTTCTAATTTCTCCAGAATTCCTGGTACATATAATAACCCTTCTCTAAACAAAAGCCCATTCTTGTACTGGAACTTATAGTAGTCGAAACGTCTTGTTGAAATGTCATCTATAGGGTTTGTTAACTGATTAATGATATTCTGAGCCAGGGAATCTACCACAATCTGAGTCCGGATATAATCTCTCAAAACTGTGTCTACTGGGGTTATAAATGTGGCATTTATACAAAAATCGCCAGCTTTTAATAATGTGGAATGTTGTTGAGTTATGGTTTCATCATGGTCAAGGGGCTGATAATCTGTTCTTTGTAATAGGGCATCAGACTTTTCCTGTTTGTTTCCTGGCTAAAAAACAATTTTGAAATCATAATTAGAAAGGAAAAGGGACCAACGGGCTTGTCGATGGCTGAGGTTTTTGGCGGTAGTAAAGTATTCTAAATTTTTATGATCATAGTAAATGGTAATAACATGCTACACTTCTTCTAGGTAATGATGCCAATATTTAAGTGTCATTATAATGGCAAGTAATTCTTTGTTATGAACGTTGTAGTTGATTTCTGCTAGTGTAAGCTTCCAGGAGTAGTAGGCAACAGGTGAAGTGTATCCTCAGCTTGGTACTAGGACAAAATTGCACTGAGGGCGTAGTCTGAGATGTCTGTCTCCAAATAATAAGGTTTAGCTGGGTCAGCTTGAACCAAAATTGAGGCGGAAGTAAAAGCCTTTTTTAGAAAATCGAACACTTGTTGAGCTAAGGGAGGCCAACAAAATTTTGTTGGTGTTTTCCCCGATTTCTGGGTTAAATTAGTCAAAGGAGTAGCTAATTGAGCATAGCCCTTGATAAAATGCCAATAGTAATTGGCAAAGCCCAGAAAATGCTATACTTCTCGAGTTGTAGTTGGGACAGGCCAAGTGAGGAGACTTTCAACCTTGTTTGGGTCCATCTGGATTCCTTGAGAAGTGATACAGTAACCTAGAAAGTTTACACTCCCTTTGTCAAACTCACATTTCTCCAACTTAGCAAATAAGTCATGCTTACACAGGTATTCTAACACCAATTGGACATGCTAATCATGCTCTATTTGACTATGCAAATATACTAAACATCATCCAGGTAGATTATGACAAAGCGATCCAGAAAATCATGGAAAATGTCATTCATAAGATATTGAAAAACAGCCAGCGTATTGGTGAGGCCAAAAGGCATCATCAAATATTCAAAGTGTTCATATCAAGTACAAAACGCTGTTTTTCACTTGTTCTCAAGCTTAATGCAGACTAGGTTATAAGCACCCTGAGATCTATTTTAGTGAAGACTTTAGCCAAAGCAAGTTAGTTCAGCAATTCAGGTATGAGGGGTAGTGGGTACCAGTTCTTAACCATGATTTGGTTCAACCTTCTGTAATTAACACACATGCGTAGGGTTCTATCTTTTTTCTTAACAAAGAGAACGGGTGCCCCAGCTAGGGAAGTTGAGTATCTAATAAAACCTTTATCCAAATTTTCTTTGATGTAATTTTTCAGTACTTCAAGCTCTTGTGAAGACAATTCATAAATAGGCCCCAAGGTGGTTGTTTATCAGAGATCAAATCGATAGCACAACCATATTGTCGATTTTCAGGCAATTTGCTAGCTTCCTTCTTACTGAAAACATCACTAAACTTATAATATTTTTTAGAAAGCGCAGTTGTAGAAGATACCGGGTCTAAACTAACAGTTGAAGCACTAAAAATCTGAACTATAAAAAGCTGAGCCCCAGATATTGAGGAGGTCTCGTATGGCAATGAGCTCGTAACATGGGTTTTGCAAATCGGATCAGAAAAAGTAATAGAGCACTTCTGCTAGTTGATTGTAGGGTTGTGAAAAGCCAACCAAGGCAAACCTAAAATCATTTTGTAGTGAGGTGATAGAATAAGGTTGAAAGATATTTTCTCATAGTAGTTTTGAAAATATAAGAATAACAGTCCTTTTTCGTGTATAACTGATCCAGAAGAAAGTTTCCAACCATTAATAACTTCAACAGATAAAGGAGTTTGGTTTTCAAATATAGATAAATTATATTTTTGAGCTAAAGCAAGGTCCAAGAAACATGCTGAAGCGCCTGAGTCGACTAATGCATGAATTTTTATTTGTAATACATTAGACAAATGTAAGTATACTTCTGGGGTAAAAGCGGTTATGAGGCTAATAGATATTGTTTTCCTAGGAGGTAAATTAAGATTTTGATCTAGCCAAAGCCTCTTTACTGTGACTGGGGTGATTCTTTTCTCGACAACTCCTCTGAGACTACAGCATTGATTCTTGATAGCCAATTATGTTTCTTGAGGCAGTGTTTAGCAATATGTTCCAGCTCACCACAGTATAGACAGAGATTATTAGTATAACAACATTGTTTCTCCACTTTAAACAAGGGCTTAAACCTAATGGCATCTAGCTGCATGGGGTCCTCAGTAGGCGGATTGGGCTATTTATAATTTGGAGCTGAAAATTTTTGTGGGTGAGTCCTGCTGACGCTCTTGCTTTATTCAAAAATCCGATTGTCACATCTAACAGCCTTAGAAATTGCATCATGCAAAGAAGTAGAGTCTTCCAAGGTTAACAATAAATCTTTCACTTCATTTCAGAGCCCTGTCTGGAACTGGTCAATTAAAGCTGCTTTGCCCTAGTTTAGGTCACTTGATATTTGTCTAAATTTGGAGGCGTAGCTAGAAGCTGCTCTTGACCCTTGGATGAGTTTTCTTATTTTATTTGCAGCAGTCCTAGACTTGTTTGTGTCACCAAAAGTTTTTTCAAATTCTCTAACCAAATCATTAAAATTTTCAAAAAGTTCAGATTAGTTCTCAAGTAGAGGAGAAAACTAATCCAAAGCAGGCCCCGACAACAAGCTGCCAAGCAGGCCTACTTGAGTTCGATCATCAAGATAGTGAGTAGGTTGCAAGACAAATTTGATTTAAAAAGCCTTGGAAGTTACTTCTTGTACTATCAAATTTATCCAGAAGGCTTACTTTAGGTTCCCTAGCCTGAAAATTAGTGTCTTCTTGAAACTGAAACTGGTTGAGAGAATTCCGAAGTTCTGTGTTTTCTTGGTGAATCGTTTGGTAATCCAGCTGGACTTGATTAAAAGCAGCCAATATGGTGTTGAGGTCAGATTGGTCTTCCATTGCAGCTTTATTTAAAAAAATTATGTTTCTTTCAGAATATATATATATAGAAAGTTCAAGTCATAGTCATAAACAAGGAGACGTAAGATAGTAGAGAGTTAATCAGAAGCAAAGGATTTTTTTTTTTTTTAAAAAAAAAATTAATTGATTAAGGTATAACAGGTATATTAGGGTGTAAGTAAAGGAGACAAGGCTCAAATTGGTTAATGAAAATGCCAAAGTATCGACAGTTATTTTGAATTCAGTAGAGAATGATTTTGGAGTTGTCTTTTAGAAAACAAGGTTCTAGGATTTGAGATAGTCTGTTCAAACTATAACGGATCGAACTCAATTACTAGGGACAGATTTCAAAAGCAAGGGTTTTTTTATTGCATTGAACAGACTGATTATTACAATAAGGGTTTGTATTACTTTAAATACTATCTCTTTGTTATTATTAACACAATTACTAATACTAACTTATGACTATATAATTTATGGCTAATACTAACTTATAACTATATACTTTATGTGCTTTACTAATACTACCTTATGACTAAATTATTATGCTTCTTGCTAATTATGACTATATAACTTATGCGCTTTATTGCTCTTTCATTTATTACAATTCGATGACTTCATAATTAATGCAACAGCAAAATTTTGAGATCCTGGGCTTGATTATGGTATCAAATTGTGGTTATCACGAACATGGATCACAATTCGATCACGAGATCCGAGTAAGGCTTGGTTTGTTACATAGTTCGTTACAGGCATGGGTTATAATAGTATATTTCTTCTTGTTTTGTTTTTTTACTTTCATTTCCCCTGTGCTATTTCTTTATAGAGGTAGTTCCCCTCTTTGTTAGTCCTTGGGCTTTTCTCTTTGTGTTTTTTTTTTTACATCTCATTGTACCCCCTTTTTTTTTCTTTAAAAATACCCCTTCGTTATATTTGTTCTTTTTTTAGTTATTTTTTTTATTTTGTTTTCTTGGTAGTATTGGTGGTTTTGTATGAGATCATCACTTTCTTTTGCTCTTGGTAAAGAAAGGAGATATGAAGGGAAAAGCTTTGATGGGCTGACAAAGTTTATCTAACTTGTATACAAGTTAGTGCGACAAGTTGCAGTTGGGCACGTTTATTGCAGCCAGATGATGTCAGGCTTGCAATTGCGAGACTCCCTGTTTTTTGGTTATGAATAATATATGTATTGTTCGAGAGAGCTTAGCTCTCACCTGAAATATAGTCCCAATAAATTAAGCACTAGCAAGACTATCAAAGATTTTAAAAAAAAAAATAAAAAAAATAAAAATTAATAAAAAATCTTTTAACAAAAATATAGTTTAGCTAAATATCTATTAACTTGTTAAAAATTTTTTAATTTAAGTTGTTTTAAAAAATTATAATATTTAAAGTTTTTATTAATAAAAGTAGATGTATTTTGCTATTTGGTACTGTATACAGCTAAGGCTATATATAGCTATATTTAATAATTCTATAATAATTTAAAATTTTACCAAAATAACTCCTATTATATAATTAAATAAAAAATGCTTTTTTTAAATTTTAAATTCTAATTCTAATTTAACTTTAATATAATTTAATTTTAATTCTAGTTATTATTAACTACAAAAATTTTTTATA